TCAAGGACACAAATATTTAGCTCCTGCATTTTTTCCCGTAAACAGTTGATCTGCCAGCATGTTAAACTATTGCTCATCTTGACTAATGACAAACTATTTCATGTATTTTTGCATCAAATCCTTTTACAGAGGTGTGAAAAGCTCAATGAGATGTATTTATTTTAGTGTTATCTTACTGTTGCATTGTTTTAGCTCCAGCCTTTTAAAAACTGTTGCTGGAATTAAATTCAATCCTCTCTACACCATACTAAATAAAATATACATTTTTGGGCAATTTACAAATCACTCCTGCTTTTATCTCTGTGTAACACAGAGCCTAATGTTTTGCTAATTAGATGAGTATTAAGACACACACTGAATTACTAATGAATGACATAATGACTAATCCGTAGCCTCACATATAAACATTTTCATACATCTACATTTCTGTTATTTTCTGCTATTTTGCATGCCGTTCATTCATTTAACACCTCACATAAAGCCTTTTAAGCATTCTGTCCAACATCCAGCTGTTTTCATAACGTATTTTAGGAGCGCTCCGCTCATATAAATCAGTTTACAAGCCACAAACTGAATATCACTGCTGTTTTATGAAATGGGCAATTTATTTCACCACAACAATCAGCTACCTACCTCTCAGAGCTCAACATGCTCCTTCCCATCTGGTTAAAAGCAATGACACTCACTTAAACTCTGATTTTAGACTGTACTGTGTTCAGTTTAGACTCTTCAAACATTTATCTGTTGTTAGTTCTACTCAGCTCTAGAAAGTGTCCTTTAAAATGTAAACGAGGACACTTTTATTTGTCTCTATTTGTATTTGAGCAAACTGCATGATAATTTCCCAGTTGGTTATGTAGTCTACTTTACTCCAGGATGAAGCAAATAGGCAAGCAGCGACGCAGTTAATGGCTTTTGATGAATCTCTCTCCATACTCTGCATGCCTGATGAACACCTTATATTTCTACAACCAGTGTTCGCTGGGGGTTTGGTTCTGCACATAAGATAAAGGCACTTAGCGCGTGGCGGTTAATGAAAGCTCCAACGCTTTGTGTGAAAGGGGAAAAAAACTGATATAAAACATGCAGTTACCTTAATGGGAAGTTTGTTGTCCACTGGGAGTGTAATGTTGCGCATATGCAGCGTTGACCTTCAAGAAGTATTTCCACGAGGTACTTAATTTTAAAAGGTATAACCATTCTGAGGGGGATAATTATTTAGTCCTTTAACTATTTCACATTCTGCCAACTGTGCAACTCAACATTACATCTTGGCATGATTTTAACAGAACCAGCATAAAACAAAAAAACAAACTGAAAATAGCATTAAACACAATTAATACAGAGCATGCTTGTTTACTTTTGTTGCAGTGCCAAGATTAGACTATTTTCACTGTTACTGTTTATTTTTGTCATTTGTGATTTTTGCAGATAAACAATGAATCTTCAAAGGGTCAATAAATAGCATGGAGGTTGGTAAAAGTAAGAAACTTTTGTTCATTTCAGCAGAAGATTTCTTAGGTCTCATATCACATATACCATATAACAGTCAGTTTAAAGGTTATCCATTTTTATTCAAAATAGATTTGTGTGGTTTGTTGTTTGTCTAACTTATGAACATGTAGAAGGGTGGCCTATGCATTAACTAGGAATGTCCCATTCCAATATCAATATCGGCCCAAAAACAGTGTATGGGATTATATCGGACTGCATCAAAAATCTTTAGATATAAAAAGTCCGTTAAGGTTTTATACTTTTGTAACCGATGGTAAAAAAATATGTCAGTTTTTTTCATACTTAAAGAGCAAGTCACCCCCAAATAAACTTTTTTTTGCTGATAAACTAAATAAACGAGTGTCTAATCGTGCCGCAGGCACGCGTCGTCTATAATTTGGCACTTCAGTGCATCTTAGTTAAAATTTAAATATTCTGCCTAAAACTGGCAGTGTTGTGCCATTGTCAGGTAAAAACTCTGCACTGTATTTGAATTTAAATCTGCCACCGCTATTGGCTAAGAGGTATGCTATGATGTAAACTGGTACATTATGATGTCACAATGCTGTCGTGAGCCTGTGTGTGTGTATTTGTTAGCATCTCTGCCCTCTCGGTCTGCCAGGCAACAGCATTTGTTGCATTTTTCAAACATGAAGTGGGAGTGGAGTTAGACTCTGGTGGGGGTTGACTTGCACTTTAATGATATTGGCTCTTGTTCTCCGATTGAGTAATATAAGTTGATCAAGCCTTTCATACATCCCATACTACAAAATAGGTAAAATATGTATGATTTGTGCTGATATCGGTATCGGTCAATACTGAAGGCTGCCATATCGGCATCGTATCGGAAATGAAAAAGTTGTATTGGGACATCCCTAGCATTTACACTTACCTATGCTGTTAAAGGATGAAGAAAACATTCCGTTTAATAGCTCTGTTGTTTTGTATTTTCAAAAACCAGAGTCTTGTAGTCAGGATGTGAGGTTACAAATTCCCATCTACTCATTTGCACAATATCTAGCAATAAAAAATTACTAAATATATTGGAAAAGTAAATATTGCAAGATGCAGCAGTGAGGTAGGAGTTTAAGTCCCACTTGTTGTCGCACACTGGTGAAATGTGTTCTCTGCATTGACCCATCCCCTGTGGGAGCAGTGAGCTGTAGACGGAAACTATTTGGTGGTTTTAACCTTCAAACGAACCCCTTAACACTGAATGTCAAGCAGGGAAGCATTGGGTCCCATTTTTAAAGTCTTTGGTATGGCCCGACTGGGATTTGAACCCACAATCTCCCAGTCTCAGACCACTAGGCCCCTGAGCTGGTTGTGTGAATAAATAAATAAATAAATACATCTAGTAAAACAATCTGAGAAGTATTTTAATTTTTTATTTAAAAAAACAACCCATTTGCTTACATGGAGGGGGTGGGACTTAAAATGTATACTGCAACCAGCCACTAGATGGGGTTCCTTCTGTTTTGACTGGTTATACAGTGGGGCAAAAAAGTATTTAGTCAGCCACCGATTGTGTAAGTTCTCCCACTTAAAATGATGACAGAGGTCAGTAATTTACATCATAGGTACACTTCAACTGTGAGAGACAGAATGTGAAAAAAAATCCATGAATTCACATGGCAGGATTTTTAAAGAATTTATTTGTAAATCAGGGTGGAAAATAAGTATTTGGTCACTTCAAACAAGGAAAATCTCTGGCTCTCACAGACCTGTAACGTCTTCTTTAAGAAGCTTTTCTGTCCTCCACTCGTTACCTGTATTAATGGCACCTGTTTGAACTCATTATCTGTATAAAAGACACCTGTCCACAGCCTCAAACAGTCAGACTCCAAACTCCACTATGTTCAAGACCAAAGAGCACCAGGGCACCAGGAAAAGAATTGTAGACCTGCACCAGACTGGGAACAGTCTGTCCTCTGTTATTGCCAACAAAGGTTATGTTGCAAAGTATTGAGTTGATTTTTTTGTTACTGACCAACAACTTATTTTCCACCCTGATTTACAAATAAATTCTTTAAAAATCCTGCCATGTGAATTCATGGATTTTTTTTCACATTCTGTCTCTTACAGTTGAAGTGTACCTATGATGTAAATTACTGACCTCTGTCATCATTTTAAGTGGGAGAACTTGCACAATCGGTGGCTGACTAAATACTTTTTTTACCCCACTGTATATGTTGACAGTCTAACAAGGGAAAACAGTGAAACACATAGCGCACTATTTATATATAAATATTTCATCATTAGGCTCAATCATGAACAGCGGGGTTTTAACTCACATTTCTTCATTTTTAAAGGAAGCAAAACATAAGGGAGAAGCTGCATGTGACAAACAAATAACAGAATAACATCCCACTGTGCGAACACCTAGTCTGCACGTCCTACTAAAGTGGTGTGGACCAACGGAGACATGATCTGTACGCCCATGCGACGTTGGCGGTTTGCAGGGATACTCATATTGCTGTCCAGTAAGACAGTTTTCCTTGTTCTGCTCTGTAGCTTTGGTTAGCTTAGCGTATTGTAGCAGCACATGAACCAGTTCACCCCCGTCAGTGCCTTCAAGCTTGCAGCTGATTTACCAGAGAGCAGAAAAAGGACTACTGGGGATGCAGCTGGGCCACGACCGTGACCTTGCCGTGTAGCAAAACACTAGACGGGTCGAGGATCGTTGGTCAACGGAGACAGAACTTTCAAAATAAAATACTGTACTGGGTTTCAAAAAAAGATGTTTGTGTAAGGAAGACTGTATTTGATTATATATATGTTCTCCCAGGTTAATAATAGGTTTGTTATTTGATATTCTAACTATTCATTGTTTTTATTGATTGTGGTTTAAGCGTGTGTGCATGGTTGACTTTGTGTCTCAGCTCCAGGCTCCAACCCCGCTCATCAGCCTGAAGAGAATAGAGCTGATATAGATAACAGAGGAATGGATAATGTGTCAAATTAATATTGGTAGTGATTAACAAGACTGGGCAACAGCTAAAGTCTTAGTTTAACAATAAAATAACAGCAAATGGTGCATTTATGGGGCAGCAGTAGCTCAGGTGGTAGAGCGGGTTGCCTCATGATCCGAGAGTCATGGGTTCGATTCCAGCTCCCGCCAGGGGTATCCTGCTGTTGTGTCCTCGGGCAAGACACTTCACCCAACTTGCCTGTGTTAGTGGTGGTCAGAGGGGCCGATGGCGCCAAATGGCAGCCTCACTTCTGTCAGACCTCCCCAGGGCGGCTGTGGCTACAAGTAGATTACCATCACTAGCAGTGTGTGAATGTGAGAGTGTGTGAAAAAAAAAAGCGTCTTTGGGTGTCTAGAAAAGTGCTATATAAGTTCAATGCATTATTAGTATTATTATTATTATTTATCTAATTTGTTCTGCACATTTCAATTCCTTTCTTGTGGTATGAATACAAATATTTCTCCACTTTAATTTCCTGTTTTTTTACACTTGCGTGCTGCATAAATAACAATGTTCTTATCTGTGTCTTTTCAGGCAGATGATTTCTAACCTGTTGAAACAAACAGTGGTGAAGGAAAAGATCTACTTCTTCCAGGCGGCGACAAACTGAACCGCATCACGGTGCAGCTCAAAGTGGACTTCATGCAAAACCATCTGGGTTTGCTGCCTTTGAGGATGATTCGTGCGCCCTGAAAAGGAACTAATCAAACATTTAACAGAGAAGAGCGAAGCTGAAACTGAGAGTATCTCTCTCTCTCTCTCTCTCTCTCTCTCTCTCTCTCTCTCTCTCTCTCTCTGTGAAACTAAGTCTAAGTCAGTCATCTTGCCTGAGTGAACTTCTCCATCTTTCTGTTGACTATCTCCAGAGAACTGTGGCATCGGTGTTGTAAAACTCGACATCATGGAACCTTAACAACAGATCAGACTCTAAATGAACTTGTTTCCTGCTGTTGAAAATTTGCTCTCATTTCTCTCCTCATCAATTAAATCCCCTACCTACCTTTTTAAAGGCAAGTGTAGCAAGACACAACACTATTTTGCTTGACCAACTTCTTGCATGAGTGTCCAGGATTGCTTTTGACTTCCAAGAAGGCCCCTCGAGCCCTGAAATATCTTCTGACTGTCAGCCCAACTGTAGCATTTGGGTGTGGAGGGGTGGCTGCAGAATTAGGCCTCTGGACACTCACTGAGGATGACTTAAGTTGGCAGGCCTAAAAGCCCCTTACCCAGAGAGAGAAAAAGAGCTTGGCAGCAGAATACACATCTGCACACCACTCACAAATGTGGATGCCGTGGCGGCTTTGAGCCATGCTGGTGCTGCTACTTGTACAGCCCTGGAGTGAAGGCTATCATCATCCCTATCATCATTCACCCAAGCTGAGGAAGATTCAACAGCCCGAAGGAAAGAGGCTACACTTCTGAACGATTCAAAGAAGGCTGTGAAACTGCGCTAACACGGAGAGATCCAAAGCTACGTCCTCAATCACACGTACAGACACTAATACGCCGCTCCAGAAATCCTAGAAACAAGAAAAACAAAGCTGCGGCGGACGTGAAAAGGCATCGAGACTAAGCAGGTTAGAAAGCCCTCGGCAATCACACCGCGGGTCGATCGCACCTTTTTACACACACATCTCCACTTTGAGTTCATTTGCATCAACATCCACCACACTTGCGCCTTGTTTCCAGCTATGTGATAAGAAACAAAGACCTTTTAGGAGCATGATTAAAATGTCGAGGTGAAGGGAACAAAAGGAGAGGAAGGGAATGTGCAGACAAGACAGGTGAGGCAGAAAAGAAGTGTAAAAGAGAAGGAGAACTAGGTGAAGGTGGTCCGCTGCATCTGAATGGGAAATGAGATTCTAAATTGCAAAGAGAAGAAAGGAGGAGAGAAGCGGAGTTGTGGGCAGGAAGACTAAACCACGTCTGATTGATCCAATCTCAGCGTGTAGGAATAAACAGACAACTGGAGAGGAAATGATAAAAGAGGATTAGAAAAAGATAGAGACAGAGGAAGGGAGGATGACGGCATGGACACTTCTGTAAACAAATCTGAAAGTGGATATAATGACAAGTCCTGAAAGAGAGGTGGGAGGAAAGGAGAGGAGATGGTGTAAAAGATAAAGATGCAGAGAGGCGAGACAACGAGAGATCCTATCAGAGACGAGGGAACGCAGAAGATCTGAGGATCATTAAAGCAACATGTCGATTGGAAACCTTGGCATGTGGGCGAAAACACACATGCATGCTTGTGCCAAGAGGATATTTATGAGAGGGAAGTGGGGATATGGTGGCACTGAAACATATGCTAGTTGATATTCATAGAGCATCCCAATCTGGTCTCAGCTCCTACCTTTACACTCCCTCTAGCGTGTCTCTCAAACACACAGAATGCTTGGAAACATGCAGATTTGAGCTTAAAATAATATCAAAAAAGGAAAAATTAAGTCAGGGTTCATGCCAAATTGCGTAGCAGGCATTCTTTTTTCACCTTGACATTTCAAATGCAGTCTGTGTCAGGCTGAGATGGGAAGTGGTTGTTGTAGATACGGATCTCTGTCACATACACACACAGAAATGCACAACGCAGGCGTGTAAAGGTACCAAATGTAGCTATTTTTACACCTTTCTACAAAAAAAAAAAAAAAAAAAAAAAACAACACCCCGTCAGTGTTTGGAGCCATTCTTTATTTTGCAGCAAACACATCTGATACTGACTTCAGTCTTCACTGCCAGGAACTCATTTCCCGTCTCCTCCTCCGGCTGTCCGACTCTCCCATCTGTCTCCTTGCCCCCCCATGCCTCCCTTCATCTCTTCTATTGTTGCCATCTCTTGTTTGCTTTGCATGGATTTTGACTGAAGCCAAGGGGCAATTTTGCATGTAGCACAGAGTTCGCATACAAACACACATGTGCATGTGCCAAGGGGAGGAAAAAAAGACTTGCCTATGGAGAATTTGTTTATCAAATGTGCTGTCAAATCAAGTTAGGCTTCTCACATCCCGTCACATTTCCCAGCCTCAGGCTATACCCCAAAAAAGAGAAAGGAAAGAAAAACTAGTGTTTAGTAAATTTATATTTAAACAACTTTGCTTTATTTCTTTGTCACATTCTCATAGTGTCAATGTATCAGCTTATTTGAATGGTAAACTGATGCTATGAAAGGTTTGTTTGGAGATAAATCGTAAAATATCGACCGAGGAACAAATTAATGTTGGAGAAAGGAGCTTCTCCGTAAAGCATCTCGCTAAAACATTCCTGGGAATTTCTGGACCACCTTCCTGAATAATTGATAGAAATTTCATGAACAATAACCACAGAAAGAAAACATGCATAATACATGGCAGCCTACACTGAGACTGTACAGTGGTGGACTTAGTGCTTCGTGTGTTTATTAATTTGTGTGAGCATCGGAGCAAGTGTCTCTTGACCGTGACCTCGAACACAAGCACCCTGCATCTGAGTAAACAAGCCAGAAAAGCGTGAAGTTCCACTTTTCAGCCGTGTTCTTGTTATAATTTTTTTTCAGGGTCAGACCCAGTGCTGTCACAGCAACTTTGATTCTTCTGTTGTTTTCAAAGCCATCAACTGCACTATAGGCAATTAATTTAATCTCCTTCTCCCTGATCCGTCCTCCATTTTAGTTTCGTGTCACTCACTTCAGTTCAGTTAATCTCCCTGGAAAACAATCCCTCTTCACTTATTTTCCCCCACTTCAGCTGTCACTGTCCAATTTTCTCCATTCCTATTGTCTCTTTGCCTTTTCTGATTCTTCTAATCTTTTTTGCCGGTCAGTCCATCCCTCGTTGCACTCGCTGGCTAGAAATGTCAGTTTGTCTTCTGCTTGGTTGCTCTGACCCATATAATACTGGACAGTTTCTCTTAGGGGGCGTCTCACTATTCCATTCCCAACTCTTTTCAACTCTTCAGACCGAAAAAAAGGCTTTACATGGTGAAAAATATTTGAACTGAATAATAATTTTTTTAATGCCTCAACTGTGCAGTTTTCTAATTTAGCTTTGAAACAATATGCTACCACTTGAATTTTAGCATGACAAGGTGATAATACTTGTTTTTGTATTGATCCAATGTCCCTTTTCTTTTGGTCAGGAGCTGTGCACCAACATGGCATCAGAGAGTCTTGCCGAGCTTCGTGATTGGCTCTTCCTGCTCCTTCTGGTCCTCACCTTATTGGCTGAGGTGCTGGAGTTGGCGGCAGCAGCCATCGCCATGGAGACTGGAGAGGGAGACGAGGGCATCGTTTGTCCCTCTGTGTGTCGCTGTGATGAGGGTTTTGTCTACTGCAACGATCGTGGCCTGAGCATAATTCCTCCGCTACCTTTAACGGCTGCAATCCTCTACTTACAGAGCAACCGGCTAAGTAACGCTGGGCTGCCTCAGTCACTGGAACGCAGTACTTCCATACGAGTGATTTATCTGTATGCCAATCAGTTGGATGAGTTTCCTATACACCTCCCACCGTCCTTAAAGGAGTTGCATTTGCAGGATAATAATATACGAACGTTACCCAGATTGGCTTTGGCAAAGTTACCATTACTAGAACGTTTACACCTGGATGATAACTCTATATCTACAGTAAGCATCCAGGAGAGAGCTTTCTCTGGGACTCCACGGCTTCGACTATTGTTTTTGTCTCGAAATCACCTCTCAAGCATCCCTGCAGGCCTACCAGCTTCACTAGAAGAGTTACGACTGGATGACAACAGAATCAGCACCATTCCTACACATGCTTTTCGTGGGCTCTCTTCCTTGCGACGCTTAGTCCTGGATGGGAACCTGCTGGCCAACACGCGAATCGCAGATGACACCTTTTCTCGTCTAGCCAACCTGACAGAGCTGTCACTGGTCAGGAATGCTCTACAGTCTCCACCGGTCAACCTCCCCTCAGCCCACCTTGTGCGACTCCATTTACAAGACAACGGAATGACCCACATCCCAAGGGGTGCACTGGATGGGATGCGTCATCTACAGAAGTTGGACATTTCGGGGAATAATTTGACCAGTCTCCAACGAGGACTTTTAAGAGATACCGAAAGCCTGGAGCTGCTGTTGCTGCGAGGAAACCCCTGGTACTGTGGATGCAACCTTCGCTGGCTGCATGCCTGGTTGCATGGAAGAGGGTCAGCAGTGACAGTCAGGGGGCTAACCTGTCAGGGGCCTGAGCCTGTAAGGGGCCAGGTACTCCGAGACCTGACATCACTGATGGAGCAGTGTGAAGGCCCTCCAGCAGGCCCTAGTCCTGGAGCAGGGGTTAATCCACCAGAGAAAGATGGAGGGGAAGATACTGTTGAAGGAAGTCAAGCAGTTTCCCCAGGCAGCACCACCACCACTTCTCTGTTGGTCCCCACACAAGGCTCCCTTTTTACTTTGAAAGCCAAGCGACCTGGGCTTGTTATGCCTCTTCCTCGAGGAGAGGGTGGACAGATATCAGGAGAGGCCTTGGAGCTGACTTTAAAACCTCTCTCTTCAGACAGTGTGCTGGTGAGTTGGTTGTGCCCACAGCAAGCCCCTTCCTTCCGCCTTTCATGGTTGAGACTGGGAAGCAGCGCAGCTCTTGGTTCTATAACAGAAACTTTGGTTCCTGGAGAAAGGAGGCAATATCTCCTTACCCAGCTCACCCCACGTTCCCATTACCTCATTTGCTTGCTGCCACTAAGACAGGAGGCCTCCCTTGGGGGCTCCAGCATGGGTTCCTCTAGAGCTGGCAGCATGGACACAGACAGCAAAGACTCATCCCCGGCTTGTGCTCAAATAGAGACTGGAGAGGCTGCGGTCAGCACTGGGGGGGAGGGGTCAGAGAAGGAGGGACAGGAATCAGAGCTAACAGCTCTGCCACTGGCTGGGATTATTGGGGGTGCCACAGCATTGGTAAGCCTGCTCCTAATCTTTGGCATCTTCTGCTGGTACGGACAGAGATCAGGTTACATGTCTGGGGACACAGGTTCATACAGCAGAGGCCGGGGAGGAAAACATTATGATGACTATGTAGAGTCAGGAACCAAGAAAGACACATCCATCTTAGAGATCAGGGCCCCTCCTGCAGGGTTTCAGATGACAGCTATGGCCCACCAGGCCCTGCAGCCTAAGCTTGAGGATGTCACCTATATCCACACCATTTTCCCATCCTCCTCCTCCTCTTCTTCTCAAGCTAATGGGACCTACCGGAGCAACCATGGAGCTGGCAGTCTCAATGGCACCATTCTCAGCCAAGCCAGCCACCATCATGTCACTTATGGTACCAACCGTGGCTACAGAGAGGCTGGCATCCCCGATATAGATTATGCCTACACGTGATGATACAGGGACGGTCTTTCTGAGCCAACAGAGCCCCCTTGGCTAGTGGCATTTTGTCCTTGGTTTCCAAAGTACCCTCTGTGCCTCTGCTGGTTTGATTCTGATTGGTTTGCTTAGTAGATAGGGCTGATTTCAGCTCTAATTGTGGGACAATGCTACTGAGTGACAGAAGCAAGAGTGCCACTAAACTCTTCTACTGTATCCTACAAAGTACAGTAGAGTCTTCTTTCAGCACTGCTTATAGTTATAAATGGTTATGTTTCCTCTTTTGGATTTCTCAGTGTCTTTGAAACCGACTGCTCTTCTCAGCTCATAATACTACACAGTAACTTATTTGAGGTTGATATACTAGGCTTAGCTGATTTAGCGGGAGATATATTTATAATATGAGGAAAAGGCACTTGATGTGTATAGAGATAGCACTTGTATCTTCCTACAACTGTAAGCTCTGTGCTGTGTAGATAAAAGGGATAACAGAAGGAGAAATCAATGGTTGTTATAACCCACAGATGACAATGCATCATAGCTGACATGAAAAGATGTGTTCCTAACTCCCTCCTTTCCTCTGGTTTACTCCCCTTCTTTTTAATTTCTCCATCTTTCCACCTCTTTTTTCATTTTTTTTCCTTTGGAGCTGAGGCTCTTTTCCTTTTATTCCGCTCGTGTCTTTTGTGGTGCTGTGAGCAGAGGACGACTTTGTTCTCGCCAAGGGAGCTGACAGCAGTGATAACAGCTCTGACAGAGACGGAAGACACAAACCACAGCATGGGGAGACTAATGAGTGGGAAAGAGCGAGAGAGAGAGAGAGTGATGGATAGATGGGTGGAAAGAGAGGAAGAACATAAAAGGAGACGAGGGGGAGCAGAGAGGGGTGCTGTTTTGGGGATGTGGTTTCTGAGAGAGGTGTGAGTGATGCTGAAGGCAGAGTGAGGATAGAGAAGAAAGAAAAAAGAGTTAAGTTAAAAAAAACTGTGAGTGACCAATGAAGCGGCAGGAGGCAAAAAAGACAACAAAAGGAAAATAAAATAGGGGGAAGAGGGCTGACAACTGGAATAATGTGGCATCATCTAAAAAAGGGATGAAGTTTTGCCCACGGTGTGTCCACTGCACTCAACAAATATGAGTGATAATAGACTGCATGCTATTTTCCAAGACTGTTTGAGTTGTCTGTGATTATTATGAGTCAAATGGTTCAATAAATAATACAAAACAAGGAAGACAGACACAGCAAGACAATCAAAAGGTAAAATGTTTGCCAAGACCACAGGACAAATTACAAGCTTGAGAACGGTAATTAAAAATAAAAAAGTTCATTTCAGAATTCAGCAGCAGAACTGCATGAACCCAGTTTTTACCGTGGTTTGGTCTTATTATTATTAACTCATTTTTGCAAGTGAAGTGAAAGAAACTAATCACAAATATTTTAATAGTATCCCATTTTTCTTGAAGAAGAAGGCTAAATGATTTTAATGGAAAATTAATTTTAGCATTGGAAGAATTTTTTCTAATTATTCTTTCCTAAGTCGTAACATTTTACGTGTCCCAGTTGATTAAAAAAAGTTGGATGTTACTGTTTTTTAGAAATTATGTGAAGAATCATATAAATATGAAATGATCCATCATATTAAATGTGATTTTTACATTGTGATATTTATGTATTGATATGTAGTGATTGGAAATTTGGATTTACATGAAACCATCGACAGGAAAATGTATTTTTGATTATTTAGGGAATTAAAAACAATATTTTGTTGGATTTTGGAAGCGGTCCCATATAATACAAAATCTATTTCACTCTGATAATTGGAGTTAATTTATAAACAATAATCTCAAGATGTGTGTTTTTATTCATTTATTCTTTCATTTACCTTTTTTGCAGAGAAAGACACAGGTCAAAGGAAGTACAACTGGCTTTATGTGTCTTAGATGTTTTTCACTTTTATCCTGTGCTGTCCTGGGACCACATGGCTAAATCAGAAGACTTAAATAAATTATAAAGTTGCAGTCTCACAAGTTTGTAATTGTCTCATTGTCACCAGCCCACCCAAACAAACCATTATAAGCTCTATTCAAGAGGAAATTTATAAAATGAAATTACATTTAAAATGGGTTTAATTATCTAATCAAAGCTGATGCAGTGCTGGCAGTAAATTCTATTTGTTGACTCAGGTTGTCCAGTTTTATGGCCTTAGCACAGCATAGATGCAGTTCTGTTAACAGGGATCGCAGCCCGACCGCTACACTGTGCATTTCAACACGGCCACGAGAAAGCGGCACCTGCTCTCTGACTGCCTCTCAATGACCCCACTAACCAACCCTCACCGAGGAAAGACTTCAATAGAAATTTCTATTTTAAAAGAACGGACGGATTTTAAAAAGGGAGAGATGATAAAACCGACGGAGAAAAGATAAAGAGAGAGGAGATGGAGGTGAGATTTAGATAGAGCCTTTTAATGTTGAGACCCATTCTTTCTTTTAGCGCTACTTTGTCTCTTTTCCAGCCTGTGTTACTGTGTGCCAACAATAACGAAGGAGCTCCAGTGTGTTTTTTATTTACTTGTTTCTGTAATTGTTTATTTGGTTTCTGTTTTTTACTTTAAGAGCAGTGAAACTACCATCTTTTTTTTCCAGAAACCCTTTCCTTTAAGGGAAAAAAATCTCATCCTCAGATGTGATAATGAAAACACTCTTATGTATAAACATAAAATTGGGTGGAAAATGCTGTTTCATTTATTGGTCTGTCGTCTTTTTTTTCTACGCAGATGAATAAAGACTTCTGAAAGGAAAAATGGCTTTGTGTAATTTCTTTCTCGCGTGTGTGTGTGTGTGTGTGTGTGTGTGTGTGTGTGTGTGTGTGTGTGTGTGTGTGTGTTTGCATAGGGGCTCCATCAAAGTGGCAACATGCATGGAGAAAGCTTAGGAACAAAACAAATCAATGCAAGGCTCAGATTATTAATATGATTTATGGCGAGATGGCGCGGGCCTTGTTAAATCACACACACTGGATGAATACATAAGCTGCTATGTGATTCAATTTGGAGAAACAGGCCACATGCTCATTTGGTGAATACTGTGCAGTTTGTTGCGCTCTTTAAGTCAGTGACAGTGTCTGTGTGTATGCATGCATACTGCTGTGTGCTGGGATGTTTGAGTGAAGACATGCCTCTCATTCTAAGTGAGTGCTAATGCTTGTGTAAGCATGGATCAATATAACGAACGCGAGAGTGTATAAGTGTCTGTCTTAGAGTTACTGCTCGTGATGGTCGTTTGAGAAGCGTCTGAAGGAAACAGACAGGATTCAGAAAGCTCGGGAGAAAGGCAGAGAGTTGGCATTGCGTGACAAACTGAGAAATGTGTAATTATACGTTTGTGTGCACCGAAGCTGGGGTACAGTAACCGTGATGCTGCTGCAGCTTCACATCTCTCTGCTCCTAACAACCTCACTCACTCATCTCATCAGTCACTATGGAAGCCTTTCACTGTCAGAGTCTATTATCTAGCATCAGGCTGTGCAGTATAATTATTCTAACTTACATTACACCCAACAAACAGATGCATACCAGAAACACAAGTGTGTTTTTCACTCTGCAACCCAACACGTCGACAAATGGGATCAAAGTGGGATTTTCCATTACGTTGCATCAACTAACACATCAATTTCTTTAAGATAATTAATCTGGAAGAAAGCATTGCACATCAATCGTTACCTGCTGCTGGAAGGCAAAAAAAGCAGGCAGAAATGTTTCTGCTTGGTCTGAGTATGTTTTTTTCCATAGTGTTAACTAAATATCTCATGAGCCACTGGATGGATTTTGTAGAAACTGTCAGAACCTGATCATTAGATCCACACTGAACGACTGTTGGAGCCAACCCAATTCAGCAGATCTTGAAAAACTCATCGCTAATTTAATGTCATAACAATATTAGTGTGCACAATATCCATATTGCAAATACAGGTCCTTCTCAAAAAAATTGCAAATTGTGATAAAGTTCATTATTTTCTGTAATGTACTGATAAACAATAGACTTTCATATATATTAGATTTATTACACAGAACTGAAGTAGTTCAAGCCTTTTATTGTTACTAATATTGATGATTTTGGAATACAGCTCATGAAAACCCAAAATTCCTATCTCAAAAAATTTACATTTCATGAAAAGATTCTCTAAACGAGCTATTAACCTAATCATCTGAATCAACTAATTAACTCTAAACACCTGCAAAAGATTCCTGAGGCTTTTAAAATCATGGTATTACTGTGCTCAACTGGCCTGCCAACTCTCCTGACCTGAACCCCATAGAGAATTTGTGGGATATTGTGAAGAGAAAGTTGTGAGATGCAAGACCCAACACTCTGGATGAGCTTAAGGCCGCTATCGACGCATCCTGGGCCTCCATAACACCTCAGCAGTGCCACAGGCTGATTGCCTCCATGCCACGCCGCACTGAAGCAGTCATTTCTGCAAAAGGATTCCCGACCAAGTTTGAGTGCATAACTGAACATAATTATTTGAAGGTTGACTTTTTTTTGTATTAAAAACACTTTTCTTTTATTGGTCGGATGAAATATGCTAATTTTTTTAGATAGGAATTTTGGGTTTTCATGAGCTGTATGCCAAATCATCAATATTAGAAACAATAAAAGGCTTAAAGTACTTCAGTTGTGTGTAATGAATCTAATATATATGAAAGTCTAATGTTCATCAGTACATTACAGAGAATAATGAACTTTATCACAATGTGCAAATTTTTTGAAAAGGACCTGTAAATTGTTGGATTGCAGTAAATCAGAGAAAGTTATATTCCAAGTGATTCCAAACTGACATGACAACCAAATTCCCACACCTGGTTTAAACTATAGTAGCTGTAACAACAAGCCGTGTGCTGTTAACATTTTGTGATGACAACACAAAGAGCAGTGGGAAACTTTAGATTTAGATCCTAATGTGGTGTTTTGTTTTAATCTAACATTACAAGAGCTAAAGGAATCATGGGAGGTACATCTACAGTGTCTAATGTTTATGAGGTCCTTCTACTTCCAAACAGCTCAGAGAAATAGAAAATGCACATCAAATGGAAACTCAGGAATCAGGAGATTATCTTATCTTTGCGAGAAATATGAATTCCCTTAAAAAGGCGTTGAACACTCATTTAATCTATACATTTGCAGTGGTCTCTAGTATGAATGAATGTGTTGTAATTTGTTCTCGGTGACAAAAATCAACAGTGCACCATTTCCAGGAACTAGAAGTGAGCCACATCACAGCTGAGTTTCAGACAGCAGGTTTTGGAGATTAATTTCCTGATATTTAAACATCTCACCCCAGATTGGATAACAGCAACACACCTCTATCACTGACTTGCAACTTTGGATGTCTGGAGGAAATATGCCTTGTTGTGAAGTTGATAATGCTAACGGTTAGCTTCCACTAGCTGATAAGTTCTCTGATCGTTACTGGATGCTAAACCACCCACAGCCTTTCCTGTCGTGAGTAAGGATGGGTGAATCTATGAATGTTAAGTGATTTTATAGGATTTTTCAAATCCTAGAGTTTCACCATCTAATTTCTATCAGAAGCTAATGCAGGAGATAGGTGTAAGAGACTATTTTCATGTTCAGCCTGACCGATTCCAATCAGCAATAATCATTAAAAAAAAATTTTCAGTGTTCCTCACAACAATACATAATTTTTTCTGGTGTTTCCTTATGTGCTAACGAGTCCTATCTCCCTTTGACAAATTAGACAGAACGTTCTATTAAAAGGTTTGACGCATTTTAAACCAGTGTTTTCTTCATCACAAGGCCGCAAAGGATGATTTACTGCTTCACCGTAAGGTAAAAAGAACCTGCCAGTGTTTGCATGGATTAAAGGATTATTTAACTTAAAGGTCAGCGTATCCATCTAAACGTGCGTTTGGAATCATCAACCAAATTGCTGGCCTTAGTCAATTTGCACGGTTAGTTTGAATGCAAATCCTCCTACAAATTGCCATATCATTCCGACAAACCTGTAAGGACTGATAAGACATTTGCATGATGGTTCAACCTGAAGCAGCCATGGGTAAAGTGGGCAAAAAATGAACAGAAAATGAAAAGGCATAAAAAAAGAAGAGTTTGTTACATAAGAATTGACACTTGAACACTAAGTGAGAAAGTTTAACAAATGGTTTTACAAAATAATTTAGAACATTTTGAGTTTAATGTGTAATTTCAACAAAAGTATGTACAGAGGGAAGCGAAAGTTTAGGCAGCCTTGTTAGTTTTTATGATTTTCCTGTATAAATCGTTGGTTGTTACGATAAAAAAAATTCAGTTACATATACAGTATGTAATAGGAGACACACACAGTGATATTTGAGAAGGGAAGAAAAAGAGGAGGCTGCCTATTGTGTACCACTGGTTTCGAGGCTGTTATTTCTGCAAAAGGAGGCTCTACTAAATATTGACTGCATCCACCTAATTTTGTTGAAACAATTATTGGACACTTTAACGTTTATAGGGATGATGGTAGCATAGGAGTTAAGTGCTTGCCCCATAATCGGAAGGTTGCAGGTTCGAGACCCGCTCATTTTGTCGCTGTCATTGTGTCCTTGGGCAAGACACTTAAACCCCCTTGCTGGTGGCGCCAGTGCTCGGCAGCCTCGCCTCCATCAGTGCGCCCCAGGGCAGCTGTGGCTACATCGTAGCTCATCCCCACCAGCGTGTGAATGACTGATTGCATTGTAAAGCGCCTTGGGGGGTTACAGGACTCTAGAAGGTGCTGTATCAAATACAGGCCATTTACCATTTTGTTTCACTTCTCAAATATCACTGTGTGTGTGTCTCCTAAGTGATACATTTAACTGAATTTTTCTTCATACTAACCAATGATTTATACAGGAAAATCGTGAAGAGTAACAAGGCTGCCCAAACTTTCGTGTCCCACTGAAGTGGTCAGACAAGCAGTGACAGGAGATTTTCATTTTCATGCCTGAAGTTTGAAAAATACCTTGGATCCCATCTTGGCCACATATCACATGAAATTTTCTGTAGTCACATGAAATTTTATCTAGTCAAAACATTTTTGCTTTGTGTTCATTTCTGCTCATGCTTTTTATTTTTCTCAGTTATTGAACTCAAAACATTTAGAAACTCACATCATCACCTTGGTTTTACATCCTTTTCAAAAAAGACTCAAACATCTAGGGGTGTGCTGGCTAGAATTTGGCAATACGATATATAATTATACTAAAAGTCAGACGATATTAGCCACTTTTAATTGAATTCTTTGGGAAACTCTGGCCAGACCCTTCCAAGACACATCCAGCGGCAGTAAAAGCTGCTGCCACCTAGCAGTCAGAGTTTGAACTGCACCACACAAAAGAAATACAGTAAATATTTGCATGTAAATTCTCAATAAAAAGATAAATATGCTGTTTTTAAATATAGATTTAGTGTCATCACATTAAATTATTTTAGTTATGAGTATTTTCTTACATCTGGATAAATTTCCAATCTTGTTGACATTCGAGCTGATAGGACCTGTTACACTGATCCACCAGAATTGTGTAACTGTCTGCAAACTAGTTTTTTCTTATATAAAAACTACAGGAAGGAAAAGGAAATGCCTGAGAGGAACAAAGAGATAAAACAGCTGCAATAACCAAACATCAAGCTGTAGTGGTCCTTTGTTAGAACGAACAGAGGGGACACTTCCGCTTCCGGTCGGTAACAAGACCGGAAAGAACAGGAAAAGGAAAAGAACAGGAAAAGAAGCTAGAAGATCATGCCGATGTTTACTAGATAA